TGAAAGAGTTAAATAAGTGTTAATTCATGATCTTTAGTATTGTGTGAAATAGTGTTGTTTTATTAATGCAGGAGTTTATATTCAACTTTTTTTACTTAAGAAGTAAATTAACTACACACACACACACACACACACACACACACACATTGCTGCACTAAAGCATTTTCATGGAATTTCACTGTAATTGTTCATATTGTTCACTTGTTGCTATGAGACTTTTATTAGTAATCATGCATGTATCAAAGTTTTAAAGAGATGTATAAATCAAATACTCTTTTCTTTTTTGGCCTGGCATGACCAGGTGGTTAGGGTGCTTGACTCGCAATCTGAGGGTTGCGGGTTCGAATCCCCATCCCACCAAACATTCTCACCATTTCAGCCATGGGGGCATTATGATGTGACAGTCAATCCTTCTATTCGTTGGTAAAAAGAGTAGCCCAAGAGGTGGCAGTGGGTGGTGATGACTAGCTGCCTTCCCTCTAGTCTTTGACTGCTAAACTAGAGATGGCTAGCACAGATAGCTCTCGTGTAGCTTGGCGCAAAATTCAAACCAAACCAAATTCTCTCAATATTCTAGTCCCTCAGTGGGACAGCGGTAAGTCTATGAATTTGCAATGCTGAAATCAGGGGTTTGATTCCCTTCAGTGGACACAGCAGATAACCAGATGTTGCTTTGTTATATATAAACACACACACACACACACATTTTCTTTTAAAAACATACTTTAAATGTAAATGAAATGTTTACAATGTGATTCCAGCCTTTTAAATGTTGAGAAACATGTTCGGAGTCTTGCTAGGAATTTTAAACTTGAAAGATCAACTTTGACAAGCAAATGCAATATGTGTCCTCGATCCACCTAATTTGGTAAGGTCCTCAAAATGTAGTGGATTTGAAGAGAATTGTATTCATTCTAGGGGAAAGAGCATAAACTATAAAATATATACTTCAGAGAGATGGATGCTAAACACTGTATCAACTTTGTGAAAATTATTTATTCGAGCCTACCAAATTGTGACATGATACATATTACAGTCAGTTTCTACATAACTAATTTTATTCAAAATGGCAAGACTTCTACAGGTATTTTTTTGGCAAATAGGACTATTCTTTGACAAGGTATATACAATTACATGGATTGTGTGAATTAAAACACTATTAATAATAACCAATCCTTCGTGATATTTACATTTATAGGAAATGTCTCCTAATTCAGAGTTCCCTGTTATATGTATTGCCAATATTTTTTTAATATTTGACCACTGAAAATCAAAGGCACAACTTTTAACTTCTCTGTGTTTTCACACGGTATCCTTGTGCAAGTTCTTATCTAGTTGGTCAAAATATATATAGGAATGACAGACCAAAAACACTAATTCTGCAAAATATTTTGACCTCTGACTCCTGTAAAGATGCAAGAAAAGCACAAACCCCAAATCTATCTGTTTCAGCCTGTTGGGGGCTGTCACAAAGTATTGTTTGCAAAGTCTCATATAATTTGATTGAAATATAGAAAAACCCTAACTTTGTTTATTTTGGACCAAGATATATGCCCATTGAGTTTCAAGATGATTTCCCCTATAATAAAGGGACTGTTGCACAATTGTAATAGTTGGAAAGAAGAAAGAAAGAAACATAAAAAATACAATATGTCCCCTGTGGAGGGAAACATAAAAAGAATTTTCAGTGAAATTACAGCAAACCTTCTATGTGTATCAGTTATTTTTATATGTAGCAATATAATACTTTATTAAGAAAACAATTTTGATTTTTTTGCCAATAGGAAAAGAAGTAAGGGTCATTTTTTATTACCACAGTATATTTAGTTGTTTATCTTTTATTCAGGCTGCTGCAAGCTGTTACATAGAACTTATAGTGAAAGAAAGTGATAACAATGTAAAACTGATTGTGCTGGATAGACTTATTGCTTTGAAAGAATTGCCAGCTCAAGAAAGAATTTTACAGGTGAGTAACAATCTTTTATATATTTGATGGTTTGTGTAGTTTACCCCCACAAAATCCATCTGAAATACCATCTTGCAAACAATATGTCATTTTTATCATCTTTAATTATTTTGAATATATAAAACTATAGTTAGCTTACCATTTCTATGATAGGAAATAAAATAGTTAATTACTTTGAGTATGGCAATTTTATATAGCTTAACAGTACTGCAATGGAAACTAGAATGGTCATGAACTACAATTGTTTTGAGTATATGATCTTTCTCATTTGTACAAAAAAAATATTTTTATTTCTCTTTCTTTAAATATATAGTTCCTTCTGTAGTTCTTCCAAATGTTTTCTAAACAATTTCGCCCCCCAGTGGCACAGCGGTATGTCTGCAGACTTACAATGCTAGAAACCGGATTTCGATACCTGTGGTGGGCAGAGTACAGATAGCCCTTTGTATAGCTTTGTGCTTAACTACAAACAAACAAACTTTTAAACAATTTCTAGAATCTGAAGATTTCTGAATGTGACCATAGTTTTGAAAAATGGTTTTCCACGTACAGATCTGTACATAAAACCAGCTTACCAGCAACATAACTTCTATTTAGCAAATATGGCATTAAATTAGAGTACATCTTAAAGAATTAATAAAATCTGCTTTGACAGTATTAATTACAAAATTTTTCTTAATTCTTTTCAAACAACATAAAATAAGATAGTAAACTAAACTCCATTATAAATAGCTGACAGTATCTTCTGTGGGGATAAAACAGTAATAACTGTAGTCCCTCTAGTGTCTTAATTTTATACCACCATAAATCTTAACATGCATGGATATAATCATGACAACTTTGCATGAAGTAGTAAGAGCAATAATTTAAGAAATTAAAAAAAAATAGATGTATTTTTTTTTCTTTTAGACAAGAAAGTTATTCCCTATAATGGCATTTTAAAAGCCCATCAATTCTTAGATATGCTGTATTTTACAGTTTTGAAATTTTAATTAATGTATTTTATTTTTCTGTTTGATATTATTTACTTCAGTTTTTGTTTACTTTTTATCTTCTTCAACACTAAACCGAATGTTTCTACACTTTCTTGTTTTAACTATTTTTGTCCTTTCTGTTATTTTGCCAGTGCAACACTTCACACATACTCCTTTTAATCTACGTATTGCTTTGATTAGGGTTTCTTGTTTTTATAAAGGTAAACCACTCTTGAAGAAGAGACCACTTATAAATGATTAACCCTGTGTTAAGAGGCTTTTATGATGCCACAGGATGTGGATTGGACAGTAATAAGTCTTAGCTTCCAAACAAGATAGATCAAGTAGCTAAACATGATTGGATAGAAATATTCTTATATACCTATTTCAATGTAAAGTAAATAACACTTGGTAAACAGTAATACACGATTTCTGAGAAAATGACTAGCAGAAGTTCTCATTGTGGAGAACAGATGATTCTAATGTGAAGTTTACAAAACTTTGGAACAACTCGCAAACATAAGACTTTTTATAGTTCCTTTTGAGGATTTTTTTGTTTTACTATGTCTGTTTAAAAACTACAGGAATATTCATGTATGAAGACCTAAGATAAGGATATTTAAGGTTATGGAATATAGTAAGCTAAAAGTTTAACAATTGCAAACTATTCAGATGACAAAAAAATATTTTTGTGTATCTATTAGTAAATTTATTATTACTCAACACACACAAGTACAAGAAATCCTTAATTATTTAGAATAAACTATAATTATTAAAGAAAAATTGAGCTTAATCAAAAAATATAGTTTGAAAAATATTGCCTGTATCAGGGTACACTTAGATATGAGTGCAAGCTGTGTTTCTACTGGTCAAAGATTTTACTGTTCATCAGGGTTTTATGTTATTTTTGCTACTACATAACTGCTTCATTAGGTAATGATAAATAATAAGTGTAGATAATTGATGGAAATGAAACAAGTTAGACTTAATTGGATATTTATAATGGAATTTTATAGTCAATAATGTATTCAAAAATCCAGTTTATTTCTTTCATATTTTTAATAGTGCTTTATTTGTATTTGAGAGTTTATATTTACATATGAGAAAATGAGAATGCTGTTATTAGAACAGCACAAACATAACTGATAGTTTTATTGAAAAAATGACTATTTGATACATTTACATGATTTTAAGCATGCAATAAAAGAAAATATAAATTCTGAAAGAGAGGAAGTGTTTTTTAAAAACAGCATTTGAAAACAATTTCCAAAAATATTTAGAGCCTAAAATATTCAAATACTAAACCAAATTATATGATGTTTTTCAAACTAAAGGACATGTTATATAGAAAGTGTACCAAGTTTTGTTCAATTAGGTTAAGCATTTTAAATGTGAGAACAAAATAAATAGGTAACACAACATAACCTGCCAGCCTGGATAAGGTTAAGAGTACGTGCTTTTCTTTATAAAATTTTAATAATTATTTTGTATTGTTCCACTATGCCGTATCATACTGTATTAATGGTATTTTATTTGTTTATTGTAGCTTTTCAGTATTCCTTCCCAAAAAACTTGCATCATAAAAGCATCATAAATTCATTAAAATGGAAATAACAGACAATTTACAAATGTTTGTTCTTACTAACACCTTCTTAGGTAGTTTTGCTAATACAGGTACCTGATCCCAAATCCGGAATGCTTGAGACCTGAGCCATGTTGGATTTTGGAATTTTCTAGCTTTTAGGTCATTTGGCCTGGCCTATACAGATGTTATAAATAAAGAATAAAATACACAAATAAAGGTTGTTATTTACTTGCCTTTTGGACATTTTCATGATGAACAAAGGAATAAAAATTCAAGTTAACACACAGAGAAGGCTGCACAACCAAAAGGCAGGTTTGAAGACTGCATGTACTGCATCGACTTGCCATCCCCTCCCCCCCCTACAAAACGTATAAGAAATTGTTTTGTACAGTAATTTTAGTGTAGCTTTCAATAATTTAAAGTCAGAAGTGTGCAGTAGTAACCAGAAAAAGTCCAGGTATAAGGAATTTCTCCAAGCTGATGGCGTGTTCACCAGAATATCCGATTTGTGGAACATTCCGGTTTTTGGGTCACCGGACTCGAGATCGTCTACCTGTATACACACATATGTATAGATAGAATTATACTTGTTTGATTTTGTCATAGAAGTTGAGAATGTCTCAAATTCGTTTAAGAGGACATTGCATAAACATTTTCAATTTTTCTTCCACCACACTTACACTAAAGTGATGTTAAATGAATAATGACATCAAGATTTTTCCATATTCACTTACATTAAAGTGCTTTTAAATGATTAATGACATCAAGATTTTTCCTCCACACTTACACTAAAGTGATGTTAAATGAATAATGACATCAAGATTTTTCCATATTCACTTACATTAAAGTGCTTTTAAATGATTAATGACATCAAGATTTTTCCGTATTCACTTACACTAAAGTGATGTTAAATGATTAATGACATCAAGATTTTTCCACCACATTTACACTAAAGTGAAGTTAAATTATTAGTGACTTCAAGATTTTCCATATTCACATTGCTTAGATTTCTCTGGGTGGCAAGTGGAAGATGTCATCAGATCTGCTAGTTTCTGAATACTATAACATCTCTCTGAAGTCAGTCTTTTATGAATTTACAACATTTTTGCTTTTTACAATAACCAAATGCTACAGTTATAATAATATTTTTCCTGTTGAATGACATTTAACTTGGCATTTTAGAAAAGAAATTTTGGTTTCTACTAAGTTTTGCTACTCATTTTTTCTTACAGTTTTTTAACTTTCTGCATTTAATGTTGACTACTCTATCAGAGAAATTAACTCTCTTTAGCTGAAATAATTTGTTCAAAGGATTGAAATACATATGTTAAACTTCTGACAACTGGCAAGAAAAATTAATCTTTTGTAGTTTGTACACTAGAAATAGAAAGTCTGATATTTTTTAGTGACACACACAGCCTCGTGTGAAGTATCAACATACAAGGCTTGATTTTGTGAACAGGCTTAAGTATTTTTATTTACAATCATATTGACGATGCATCAATTTTTATAATAGAGTATACTTAAAAATGTTTAATTATTATATTCACTCACTGACTTTTCAAAATTGCAATTTATCTGGTGTTGAGTCAGAAGAAAGTGCATAGGTTATTTATGTTCAAAACTGTAAATATTATTGGAATTTATGTTAAACACTGTGTATAAAATCAAAATCTTATCTCTTGCATGAGAGATAAGTTTGTAAAATAAACAGAAGTAAATGAAAGTCCAAGAGTCTTTCAGTTTAATTTTTAATGTAAGATGCAATGGACATTGCTGTTTCGGATCAGTTCTCTTTGAAAACTGTGTCCCCTTTTATTTTTCGATTCTTAAGTTAAATTTTTTTTTTGGTTTAGCTCTCTTTCATTCATGATATGTTTCTTACAAAGTTATTACTCTGTAAAAATTTGTATTGAGTTTTCTTATTATGCTTTGTGTTTGCTAGTTTTAACTCATTAGTCAATTAAATACCAAATTATATGAAATAAATAAATAAATTCTTACAGAGAGCTTTTGAAATATATGTTTAAAATGTTATAGTTAATATGTAATTAATGATTATAGAAATATAAAACTAATGTTACTTTGTTTTCAACATGTAGGATTTGGTGATGGACATTCTTAGAGTACTTACTGCATCTGATCTAGAGGTCAGGCGTAAAACTCTAAACCTAGCTCTGGACCTTGTTTCTTCTAGAAATGTAGAAGAGGTAAGAAACTTGAATATCCCCTGCTTGGAGAAACAAATATCTCTATCTTAACCCTCATTAGCACACCTTTGAAAAGTTTTGTTGTGGAACATCTGGGGCCCAGCTGGATCCCATCACATAATTACCATTACAGTAAGCTCTGGATTGAAATTCTAAAAACCAGTTGCATTACAACTTTTATTAGGGCTAACATACAATGTGAAAAACATAAAAATATATGTATTCTAGAGGAAATATATTCACAAATAAATAAATTACAAAATCACATTATTCCTCAGTTTACAAATAACTAGTATTAAACCATTCCTTATGCAAACATTGTATCAATAAAATGCTGAAGTTTTATTATTCTCCTATATTCAAGTTATCCAACAATATATGATGGAATTACCACAATACTGTAAAATTCAACTCAAAGAGTATATTATGGGTAACCTTGGGTTCGACCAGATCTCAATATAAATGTATCCTTGTAGTAGGCTACGGATTGAAAATCCAATAAGCAGTTTATTTACAACAATTATCAAACAAGGTTTCTATAAAATAGGGCATTATAAGCAGTCATCACAGAGAACACTTGTTGAGGAATGAGATGCACAAACATGCTTACCATAGTGGTGTTATAAACAAACAGACAAGATGATACTGTACCAATTTGATGAATTATCCTCTATAACAGCCTGTATAGTGAAATAAATATTTTGAAATTTGTTTCGTATGCTATAGGGCAAACTGCATGTATAGTAATGGTCAATGATAGTATGGGGTCTGCATAGATGCCAGATGAATATTAGATTATAGTTACTTACTCTGTCTGCCTGTTTCGAAAATGGTAGTCATATTGATCGAGGGTTTTTGCTTGACAATTACATGAATTGATATAAACTTGTAATGACTATGTAAAAAGATATACAATCAAGAAAGTCATTGGGATCCATGTGGACCCCAGGTATGCTGACGAGGGTTAACCTTACTCAAACCTTTTGTCTTTCAGGGTTGTTGAAGAATTAACAAACTTAAATGTGTTGCTTGTTAAAAGTGCTACCCTTATCTAAACTTGAATCTTGAATCTCTAAAGAAAAAAAGGACAGAAACTAGGTTATGTTTCATTTTTGAAAGTACACACCTGATCGTTTGTGTGGATCTGTTGCCCTCTGTGAAAATTTATTAGTCTGTGGTTGTGAAGACTAAAATCATATCTGTGAGAATGTGATATCAGTTGTAATCTATAATTCACTTACTGCTGCTGCATTTTTAGGGTAGAGCTTTAAAAATTTATAGCACGTACCAAGCTTTGAATACGAACTAAATGTCTAATTCACTGCATGATTTTCAACAAATTTTTATCTATTGTAAAAAAAAAAAAAAATTCAGATTTCATTTGGTCATTTCATACTATCACAGGTGGAAAAAAAACAAAAGTTAAATATTGGCGATTTGAAATTAATCAAATGAAAATGATGCACATTGGAAACAAATGCTTGTAAATATTATGTAACCAAAATGGAAAAAAAATTCTTTGTAGATCTGATATTCTCTAGAAAAATCTATAGGGTAATTGTAAAGACCAATGTAGAACGAGTCATTAGCTACGAAGAAACCACATATGTTTCTAATAATTATAAATCTCTTGTGTGGTAAGTAATTTAATATTTACTTTCATTAATTTACTTCTTTAGATGGTACTGGTTTTGAAAAAGGAGGTGACTAAAACCCACAATGTTGTAGAACATGAAGACACTGGTAAATACAGACAGTTGCTGGTTCGTACTCTGCACTCTTGCTGTGTAAAGTTTCCTGATGTTGCTCACACAATCATTCCTGTGGTGAGTATCCTGCTTGTTTTGATCATATTGTAAGTAAACTAAAATTGTCTACCATAGGGAAATTTTGCTCTGTAGCTTATCATCTGTTGCCTCTTAATGATGTTTTTTAATCATATATCATATAGTTTTTTTCTCTATGCCTTATTATCACTCATTTTTAGTTGATGGAGGTCTGTGTTTTGTAAATACAGCACTTTTATAGTATTGTTGAAAATAATCACTTTTATATATGATGTATGTGCACTTGTCTTCATCTTTAAATTTCCTTGCTAAATTGATGGCAAAATAATTCATCAAAATTAGTACTATATGAAATGCAATTTTCTTTCTAAAATTAAGTATTGAATGTTGTTACTGATAAAACTGAAATTTTTTAAGTAAAGGATGCTGGGTATTCTTTGTCCAAGTTTGTTGGTATAATCTGAGGTAAGAATGGTAGCTTGTACATTAAATGGGAAATGAGGTGCCAAACCATAAAACAGTTTCTTTTTAAATTTGATACAGTCCCATACACTTCAGAAGTTTAGTTGTGTAAGAAAAAAGTGTGAAGTAAATAATATTTATCATTCTTAAATTCAGATACATTTAAACATATAGCATGAAGCAGTAACTACATCTCTCTTGTTTAAGTATTTTTGTGTTTATGTATAATCTTCAGTAATAGTAATATTGAGTAGTTAGACAATTTTAATTTTTTTAGATTGGTCTAAATGGATACATTTTTATTTAACCAGTTGTATGTATTCAGATCCTTTGTCAGATCTGTGTAACTTAAGTCATAGGTTTAAATCAAAGATTATTATGATGTTCACTGGCTTACATTAATGTCCATAATTTTAAAAGTAATCATCAGAAAGCTATAATATTTGGAAGAGAAACTAATGGTGTGATAGAAAGGACAATTCCAATGCCAAAAATAGTGTTAACCAGGGGATGCTGATAATGAAGTTTCTGTATCAGAGTATTAAATCAGTACTAAGTATTTAATAATTCACTCTGTCTTTAGAAATTGCTCCTATGATGATTCGTCTCAAAACATAATGTCATTCCAACACTTCAAAGAAGTTTTGAATGACAGTCTTTGTATGAAATGATGTTTCTTCTTTTATTACCTGAACTGGCAAGATATCATTGATATGTGCTTTTGATTAAGTAATTTTTGAGATACAGACATGAGAGTAAATCAAGTAACATTATAATAACCCTGTACTTAGCTGTAATTGTTATAGCCTGTTAAATGCACAGGTTTGTAAGAACATGAAAAAAGAACAGAAAATGTAAACAAAATTTTAATCTTCTAATGAAATTCAAGTTACTCGGTGGAATTTAATATGTTCACATATTGTAGAAAAGTAAACTTCCTTATGTTCTGTAGGTTTCATAGACAGATTTCAATAGCATTCATATTTATGCATTAGCATTTCAAGTTGTGATGAGTAAGAAATGTTCATTCTTCTATACAAGTTAGATTGTTTCTCATAAAAGTGAGTTACTGCTTCATTTGCAGACACGGGTGGGATTCAAAGGGTTTGTTGACCCACTCCCTCCCAATAAATCATTTTATAATATGATTTTATAAAAATAAAGGCTGCAATCAATAAGAAACAATGGCAGAAATTATGATCATTTTGATTCAGAAAATAAAGACAATATTGTGTGCTTTTTTTAAAAATAACATATGTACATTTTAGGTCAGTCACTTCTATATGTTTCTGACATCCCAAATTATATTACAGTGTGCTGTAATATCTTAAGCTTGGAAAAAAAAACTAGGCTTTTCTATACATAGTGTAACTGTTATTATGAATATGACTGAGATGTTGCTGGTTGAGGGAAATGTATTTAAATTTTGTCTTGTGTGCCTAGAGGAGAGGGAGTTTGTGTTGAGTTACATGGTTAAGGTGGATTTTCTGAAGTTCATAAATAATGGGAATTTTTGGATCTTAAGAAGAAACAATTTTTTTTACTATGTCATATTCTAGGGACTTTAAAAAGTTAAAAAGTGTTGACAGTTTGGGCTCCACCCCAGACCAAGCTGGAACAGGAGGGAGACACTCATCTCCAATCCACCTACCCCTTGGCACTCAACTTTCCAAGATATACTAAAACCAATCTTGTCAAACACCTGAATCTGCCACTGTGCTTTAATATTAAACTAAAGCTAGAC